TTGGCATTGGCATCTCCACCTTTGTGGGCTTTAGCACAGGCCACAGTTAGCCTGTCCGAGGCCACGCCTAAGGCTAGACCACCCATCTTCTTTCCGCAGACGGGCAACCACCGGAACGACACTAACGCCTTCAGTTACACATGCTACACTCCTCTTGAAAAGGGGTCGGCGGCACCCGGGCGAAGCCCTTACAATTATCCAATTTCTGATTGTGCTCACGTGTGCTCACGCAATCTATCCGGAGGTCGGCGATCTTTGGTTGTGCTTTGCATTTTCCCACGGCCCTAGCATTTCCAGCTATAATATAGAAGTCAGCTAGCCGCGGCTTGACTGATGCAGTCGCATATGCCCTCCCAAGCATGGCCCAGGTCTGGTCCAGGCATCAAGTGCAGCTAAGACGCATCTTCCTGAAAGGCCGGGCTGAGAGGAAACAACAACAACAACAACAAGAACAAGAACAAGAACAAGGTACAAACAAAAACTGCAGCCCCGCTACAACATATCTTCTTCCTTTGTCTCTACAAGGGGGTGGAAACCAAAAACTGCAGCCCGGTCGTTGTTCTTTGAACCCCCCAAAAAACACAACCAGCCAACAAGTACTTTTACCAGTAATGGTAGTTTTTGTACTAGTGCTAGTCCTAGTGGTGCTAGTACTCGTCGTCATCGTCGCCGTCGTCGTCGTAGAAGTCGTCGTCATCGTAGTAGTGGCAATAGTAGTAGTAGTAGTAGTAGTAGTAGTAGTAGTAGTAGTAGTAGTAGGCGTAGGCGTAGGCGTAGGCGCAGGAGTAGGAGTAGTAGTAGTAGTAGTAGTCGTCGTCGTCGTGGTGGTGGCGGTGGATGTTGTAGTAGTAGTGGTAGTGGTAGTGGTAGTGGTGGTGGTGGTCGTAGTCGTAGTCGTAGTAGTAGTCCTAGTCGTAGTCGTAGTCGTAGTAGTAGTAGTAGTAGTAGTAGTAGTAGTAGTCGTGGTAGTAGTAGTAGCAGTAGCAGTGGTAGTAGCAGTGGTAGCGGTAGTGGTAGTGGTAGTGGTAGTCGTCGTCGTCGTAGTCGTAGTGGTGGTGGTGGCAATAATAGTAATAGCAGTAGCAGTAGCAGTAGCAGTAGCAGAAGTAGTGGTAGTGGTAGTGGTAGTGGTAGTGGTAGTGGTGGTTGCCGTAGTCGTAGTCGTCGTAGTCATAGTCGTTGTCGTCGTAGTGGTAGTAGTAGTCGTCGTCGTCGTAGTGGTAGTGGTAGTGGCAGTGGTGGCAGTCGTAGTCGTAGTCGTTCTCGTAGTCGTAGTAGTAGTTAGTAGTTAGTAGTTAGGAGTTAGTAGTAGTAGTAGTAGTAATACTATCAGTAGTAGTAGTAGCAGTAGTAGTAGTAATAGTAGTAGTAGTTGTTGTTGTAGCAGTAGTAATAGTGGTAGTAGTAGTAGTAGTAGTTAGTAGTTAGTAGTAGCAGTAGCAGTAGCAGTAGCAGTAGCAGTAGCAGTAGCAGCAGCAGCAGCAGCAGTAGTAGTAGTAGTAGTAGTAGTAGTAGTACTGGTAGTACTGGTAGCACTGAAGTAGTCGTCGTCGTCGTGTAGTAGTAGTAGTAGTAGTGGTAGTAGTAGTAATTACCGTCAGCTAAGCCTCTGTAAAACTTCTACTTAGAACCTTTACAACTTTACCACAACCCAGAAACAAAAGCTGCAGCCCGGCTGTTGTCTTTTGGACCCCCTCAAAAGGTGTTGTTGTCTCTACCCCGTCCCAGATACAAAGACTGCAGCCCCGTTGTTGTTTCCTGGACTCCCCCTCCAGAAGAACACCTCAAAAACACTAAAAACCAACCAGCGCAGACTTCAGTGAAGCAAGTCCAACAAGTCCACCTACTTACGAAGCCATACGAAACCAACGTTCGGTCAAACCTTCAACCGTATCCCTAACCTTGTCCCCTTGAAGTTCCAAAGTTACAACATGTGACAATTATGTTGGGCGGCTGCTTGTGTTTCTACCAACAACAACAACGACGACGACCACAACAACAACAACAACAACACCAACACCAACACCAACACCAACACCAACACCAACACCAACACCACCATCAGCAGCAGCAACAGCTACAGCTTCAACAGCTGCCAGTTGGGGTCTGTGGAACACAGTGAGGCGATCCCTCCCTCCATCTCCCTCATGGCCGGGTGCCTCCCATCTTTGAGCTACACCCATCCGTAGCCTCTACCCCAGTCTTGCAACCACAGCAAGAAATACCGCTGACGGGACCTCAACCATGGGCCATCAAACTCCATGAGACAGGTCAAAGTGACGGTCGTGTGAGAGGATTTTTTCCAGTGTTCGGAGGAATCGCGGCACCTCTGGCTCAATGGCGAAGGTAAACAACTCAGGCCTTGGACGGCCGGTTCCAAAACAAGAGGGGTCCTCTGTCCTCCAACTGGCGTACACCGTCGTCAAAGCTCGGCAATTCCTAGTTTGAGGCACAACCCATCTAGCGATGGCGTGGGGAGCTATTGCGTTTGAGGCCCGGCGGCTTTCCACCTCAGACCTCCTATCTCAACTTGGGCTTCACAGCACGTCATCAAGTCTACAGTAGTTTACAATAATACTGGTGTCCAACATTCCACACAAGCACTGGCGCATGTGGAGGACATTTGGCCTCTACACAGCGTTAGACGGTGTAGGTAACTATGCTGGTGTAAAGTAATGTTAACGTTTGATTCATTACCCCCCAATTGAATTGAACAACCTCTTCATACATGGGGGAGTTATTAATCAAGAGTCTACATTACAGGTTGGATGGCTGAAGATCAACTCCAGGACTCCGGGTTTTCACGAGGATCTGGCACTGCTGTGACCACCTCTACGGGGCTCTTGAAATCCACATCCTCAGCAAATCGCTCCCCGCATGGTCGTACTGGATGTTTTGGCCGTGGTTGTCCACCCTTTGACCCTCTGCAATGGATGCACATCCTTCTTACCAGGAACATCAACATGTGTGCTTGTGTAAGCTTGGGCGGTTTGGCCCAAAGCCATTATAGCATACACTACAAAAGTGATCTCCCTTTTCTCCCGATCCACTAATCAAGGCACTCCAAATGAGCGTGTCACCGACAGCCCGGCAGCCACTTGCTTCCGGGATTTCAGGATCACCTGAGGCTGATGTGGGAGGCTCAAAAGCTTTTGGACTTCCTGTTGCCTCTGCTGCCACAACAAACATCCACCAACCGCCTGCATGTGACCGAAAAGGCCCTCCAGGAAAAAACAGCTGCATGTTTCAGCATCCCTGCGTGAGGCTTTCTTCTCACCCACAGGTGGGGTGCATGCTTTGGATCATATTCACTACTCCTCAGATTCCTCTGCGAAGGGGTCAAGATCCTCCTGTGAATCCTCAGAGTGGCTGAGTGGCTTGTCTTTATTCTCCTGGCCCGATGGGCTCGGTCGCTCCTCATCCTCATTGCCGGAGGTGCCAAGCAAGTCCTCTTGTTCTGATGGGTTGAGCGGCTCTTCAGTCTTGTCTGTTGGGTTGAGCGGCTCCTCCATCGGGTTGAGCGGCTCTTCAGTCTTCTCTGATGGGTTGAGTGCTTCTTCAGTCTTGTCTGTTGGGTTGACCGGCTCCTCAGTCTTGTCTGTTGGGTTGACCGGCTCTTCAGTCTTGTCTGGTGGGTTGAGCGGCTCTTCAGTCTTGTCTGTTGGGTTGACCAGCTCTTCAGTCTTGTCTGCTGGGTTGACCGGCTCTTCAGTCTCGTCTGGTGGGTTGACCGGCTCTTCAGTCTTGTCTGGTGGGTTGACCGGCTCCTCCATCTTGTCTGCTGGGTTGAGCAGCTCTTCAGTCTTGTCTG